AAACATTATACACAATATAAATAAAAATGAAATAAAAAAAAATTATTAAGGCTGATTCTTCAATGGTAAGATAAAAGTTATCTCGGAAATAATTATGATGCTGTTGTGCTGATGTTTGTATTAGAGAGTGACAGCAACAATTTTATTCTTCAGATAACATTTATCTGACTATCGAAAAATCAGCCCTAAAGAGAAAAAAATAAACGCTGCTCCTTTTCAAATTAATCATAAATTATCAAGTTTTTAAGTAATTAAGATAATTGAAATATGTTCTCAGACTTCCGAGGAAGCTATATTATGTGCACTTTCAAGTTCTTATTTCTTCAATAATTAAAATCGTTCTTCGTGAAGATCACAAATCTCATTGTTAGGATGGCTCTTTTTCTGCAGTACACTCGCCTCAATTCATAACTGACAGAAACTTCTGCTAGTACTTCTGTGTCCTTTGCTTAGTTAGAGGCGTAATGTTATGTTATAGAAAAATCTTCTTTATTTCTTAGAACGTAGAGTTACAGACTCATCTTAATTGCGATGAAAAATGTCGTTTTGAGACCTCGCTGAAGTGTTGCAGTATTTTAAAGATGGCGCTGTTTGTTCAGGTGTAGTCTGAATGTAACTGAAAGGATTAAACTTTTCGTATATCAATGATTTGATTGCTAATAAAGTAAAAACTATTTTATAGCCGATTTGTATGATAAGCCTTCAGCAACTCGCGTTACGGAAAGGCGTTTCAAAAATATTAAAAAGTGTTATTGGGTTTTGCTGTTTCGTAGTGCGTTCGAGACTTATAGTTTTCGACGAAACGAAACCATAGCGCGATCTATCTCGATCTTAACACCATCTAGTTACGTTTTTGGAACTAATTTGCTATTGTATGTTTATTTTCTGTTTTAATATTAAAATCGTAAAGCAAACTTTACGAAAAGTCTGATAATAACATTAGGAACTTGTCTAAGCCGTGTTTAAATCTATCTTTTAAGTATGGGAGAGCTGTTAAGTATGAGAAATCTCGAGAACAGCTGAACCGATTTGGCTAATTCTGTTTTCATGGTTGAGTTAGTTACTGGTAGGAGAAGGTATGTAGGAAAAAAACATTTATCGTTCGGATCGAACTGTTTGAACTTACAAAGGGGACTAATAGACAATACCAAGATCTCGGGGACTCTTTTTAAAAAATCTGTATATATGTAGAATAAAAAAAATGTCCTGAGTGGTCAGAAGTTTTGATCCTGGGAATGGTTTAAAAATTAGAACCTATGTGTGTGTATAGTTTTAATAAAAGTACAAAAATTTCAGAAGCTTAAAATAAACTAACTAGGCAGCAATAAAAAAGCAATTAGCAATTTATATAAAAACATTTTCTATCTATATTTTTCTCTTACCTCTTACACCATAGACGTGAGCAAAAAATCACGGAGTAATTAATAAGAGCTCTGATGTTCTGATGAACTGAAGCGGATTAACTAGCCAATAATCTAGCTCTGAGCAGTTTGCGATAGCAAAGTAGGTACTTTTAATTTCGCCTTACCGGGGAAATTCAATTTCCCAGTTGCATCACGGAAAAAAGACACACATAATCATTAAAACTTAATATTTATACTAATATTTTATAAACGTTGTTTGTTTTTTTTAAACATGCTAATCTCCAGATTTTCTGGTTTCAATTGGACATTTTTTTTTTATCTTGCATAGCCCGTTTATTTGGAAGTGGCCCGAGCAGCTGGTCAAATCACGAGGAAATACAAGTAGTTGTAGTTTGTTTGTGTACTATGCAAAGTGGTATTTTTAAAGAGGGACATATTCAAAGATCCGAATCTGGTGCTTAAATAAAAAAAAACCTTTATCCATAATACCAAAATGGAAATTTGTTACACAGATATAAACTTATTTTTGAGATTTCGATATTGGTCCCATGAAAAAAGTTGTTGTAATTGAGCAAATCCAATCGGCTCCTGTTCGACTGTTTTAAAAACGAATGTGACTTAAAAAATTGAACTTAATAATAAACACTTAAACAATAAGTGATCAACCTCCGCTTAACTAAGTCAAACTAACTAGCTAGCATTCCACTTCAGAACAGTCTGCCGATAGCAAAATACTTGGGAATACCTGCCTTATTGGGAAATTCAATTTCCCAGTTCAGTTATTCCGCTTCGATGACGCGTCGGAAACTGGATGGATGTGTGCCAGTCTAACTTCAAGAATTTATGAGTTTGTGAGATGTGGTGCGTTGCCGTATTACCGGTATTAGGGATATAGATGCTAAAGTTTGTTTGTTTGTGTTTAACTAGTGGAGTTCGAAACTGCTGTATTAGTTTTGATCAATTTTGATGCTAAGGTAGATTTTATACATGGTAGCAATCGTAATTAAAATGAATATCAGAGGGTAGGAGAGTCATACTTCGGTGATAAATGGGACTGCTCGACCGAAATTATAACACGGTCTCACAGAAAACCAGCGTGAAACAAAGATTGTATTATGCAATTATTCCTCCTCTTTTGTAACCAAATACCTTCCTAACCCTCCAAACTTTAACCCCAACGACAGGATTTTCAGATCATAAAAAAATATCATCAACAGCATAGTACAAAAATTTTGTAACAATAAAGTCTGAAAATTGTAAATCTAGAAATCTTTTTCATCTGAAGTTTACAGATTATAAAACCTGTTGTTACTATAGGTACTGTGTTATCTGATTGTAGTTCAAAGCAAGACGCGGCATATCGCTGTTGTCTAAGCCCAATCTGTTAATTGAACTTAAAGAGGTGGCTGACGGTAAAAATAAAACGCTATTGAAACTGTAGCTATAATCATTAGTGAACAAAACTACACTGTTGTCGATATGAAACTTATATGATTTATTATAAGTTTAATATGTGTCCAGGTTTCCTTCCGAGTTTTCATCTTTTACTTCACCGTATGCCAGTGGTGTCGAAATAAACTTTAAAGCCACGCCATAGGTATATTTCGGAAAAAGGAAGGAAATTAAAAATGTTTTTTTTTCTTTCCGTTAAGCACGTTAAAAAATCTTAGCCCCTTAGCATTAGGATTTTCTCCTGTGTCGTGAGTGCGTTTACAATCATTATTTTATTACTTTTATCAAGTACAACAAACTGTTTTTATAGTAACTAAGCCTAGCAACTACCACACATACCGAAACCCACATTGTCAATATTTGAATGATAACTCGGGTCTATTTGCTAAGTGTTGTAAGATCTTATACATATACCTATGTTGTGTATATGTATTTACCTACTCGACACAAGACTTCTTCAAGACTCATCTTGGCTTCTGACCGGCAACAACTCAGCGGTCAAGGCGGGGGTCGCGAGGTAACCGCAATAATGTATCGTTGCCCCGGCCTGGGTAATTGTTATTTAGTAAAAATATGACACTCTTTCTTACACCAACCGGGGCGATTGAAGGCATTTGATAATTTTTCCCATCGAAAACAAATCTTGAATTATATCAGCTAGGGCTGATTTTTCAATGGTTCGATAAAAGGAAAATTTTGATGCTGTCGCGTCAAAATGTTTGTATAAGACAGTGACAGCAACATTTTCATTAATCAGATAACATTTATTCGACTATTGAAAAACCAGCTCTTAAAGAAGTTGAGGCTGGATATAAAACAAAAATCTAGTTTTAATATACTAAATGTAAATAAGGATTCTTAGAATATACTTTACATACATACATACACAAATCTATAGACAATTTATATATATGTATACACCCGCTGAAAGGTTTTCTCTAGAGTCCGTACAATAGATAGATACAATATGCTATAACGCTTGTTATTCTTAAAAGGGTAAGGTTCTGGAGTCCATATTGTCCACTTTTCACTATATTTTATAGATACTGGAGTAGGTGGTAAATTATGATCTTTCTTTCTTTCTTTATATAAACAATGCGAGTATTTTCAGGCTACAGTCCTGGGATAGGCGAGAGGGAGTGAGATTCTTACTGACAAACTATCCTTGCGCCCGCAATCCCGGCTAAAACATTTTCTGAAAATACTTTACTACTAGTTTGAATTTATCTTTTTATATTTGCCATGTAGATATGAAAATAAAGATTGATTTAGTACAGCGACAATAACCATATGTTGGCTACAGAGTCAATCAATGATAACCAAAGACATGGCTTCATTAAAAACCTAATTTGCATTAACTAAAGGATTAGGCTACTGGTAACCTCACTTAAACGGCGAAACACAACATTGTAGCTATTACACGCCGGTTTTCTGTGATGCCGTGGTATCACTACGGTCGAGCAAACCCATTCATGCCGAAACATGGCTCTGCCACACTTTAAAGCAGTCTCAGTACTCATTCAGTCTTTAACTATGTAAACTGCACCTTTTATAATTATTATAACCATCGCCATTATCCATTGGACTTAATTATCATTAAAGACTTTATTACTACTGTTAAAAGGTTGCTTTTTGAAACTGAAATTCAGGTGAAGGCACGAAGGGTTTTCGAAAATCGTTAGCTGGCTTCAAATTCAATAGTACATACTACATACATATGAACAAAGAATATACAAATACAGAATAAACACACACACATTCACACATGCCTAACAACTTTTACATACTTGTACAATAGAATATTATTATATTATATCATGTCTTTATACAGTTATGAAGTGAGAATGTGAGTTCACAGTTTTGTTCTTATATAGGGTCTCTGGGAATAAGAGTTCGCACGAAACTGTTTGTAGGATTTTAGGACCTTTGTATATGTGACAAGGGTGGTTTTTGATGAGCAGGTTGGGTGAAAGGATATACAATTAAGTGTATATTATAATGTAATTTCAGTTTTATTGGATTTAAGTTTAATATTAAGTTATTTATACGGTCAAAAAGATAATTTAATTTCCTGCTGCTATTATGCGTTATTTTTGCGTTTAATTGTATTTGTAGAAATACAAGGGAGCAATTTTACAATATTCCATATAATTATCAATTTAATTTTATTTGCGGTTGATTATAATGGTGAGTTGTCGTTCGACGTTCCTGACTATGGGGGAGGCCTTTGTTTAGAAGTGGACGTCTTCCAACTGTAATAACGTATCAAGTTCAATAACAAATAAATTATTGGGGATTTCAAACCTAAAACCAAGCCCAGTGTGGGAGAGCCATGCTTGGTCACGAATTGGTTGGCTCAACCGGAGTAAATGAGGTTATCGCAGCCCGATCCTTTCCTTCCCTAGTTCCTCCCCAATCCCTAAACACATCCTCAAAAGGTCGGCAACGCACTCGTAACTCCTTCGTTGTTTCTGGTGTCCATCGGCGGCGCTGATTGCTTACCATCAGGAAATCTGCACGCTCGTTTGCCGTCCTATCACATTAAAAAAAACATTCGATAGAAGAACCCTTCTCACAATAACACTAAACAGATATCGAACGTGAGAGTATCGTTTAATTAAATATTAAAAGCAACCGAAACGCCTTGATATAGTTAGTGAATATTTAAAAAGATACCAGTCACTAGGAAATCAAAATCTATTTTCTATGTATGCATAAATCTTTAAAAATACGCAACGGATTTTGTTACAGATTTTTTATAGATAGTGTGATTGAAATCGAGGGTTTATGTGTATAATAACATCCATCCGTGTCGTGGAAAGAAGCCCGCTTCTCATGCATAAGGGCGTGGGTTCGAAACCTGGCAAGTACCAATGTGACTTTTTCCGAGTTATATGTACTTTCTATGATTATTTAGACACAATTGACATACGGTGAAGGTAAACATCGTGAGGAAACCTGGACTTATAATCTCTAATTATAAGTTTGAAATTGCCAACCCGCATTGAGCAAGCGTGGTGATTAATGCTCAAACCTTCTTCGTGTGAGCAGAGGCCTTTGCTCAGCAGTGGGCACTTATGGGCTGATGATGTGAACATCCATTACATAGTTAGCTTTAGTACAGCATTGCATCCGTGCGAAGCCGGGAGGAGTCGCTACTTAGTATAAAATAACTTTTAGTTGAGAATTACTCTGTTGAGGCAAGAGACTAGCTACTTACATAGTGGGTCACACACCAGGTATTAACAATATGAACAATGCTTCACTTAAGCTTAGTTACTTCTGAGTAAACTGCAGGTGGAAAATTTTAATTAGTAGGTAACTATTCTTTTCTTCGTAAAATACGATTACAATTTTTTTATTTTTTTTTATTGTGCTTTTTTTTCTTTAATGTTCTGTCTTGTAAGTCGTTGCCCCACATTATGTTTGCCACATACTCCACTGTGCCACGGTTAGCAAACGGGCTGCTGTGCAACGTGTCGCGGGTTCGATTCTCGCATGGAACAACACTTTGTGTGATCCACAAATTGCTATTTCGTGTTTCGGGTCTGGGTGGCTTGTGTATGTAGATTTGTATATTTGTAAACGCATCTACGACGTAGGAGAAATCCTAGTTAAGGACAACGTTTAAAAAAAAACCAATTGAAAATGATTTGACTGCACGGTTGGTGCGGTGGCTGGGCAACTGGCTGCCGTGCAACGTGTCGCGGGTTCGATTCCCGCACGGAAAAACTCTTTGCGTGACCCACAAATTGTAGTTCCGGGTCTGTCATGTGCATGTATGTGATATTGTATGTTTGTAACCGCACCCGTCTTTAAAAAAAAATAGTTCAGAGTACTTTCTTAATGATAATATTAAATGTTAAAAATGTTAATGTTATTTGTTGAATGCACTCGTACTGTTCGCGATCGAAAAGTACCTAGATAAATTAAAAACAATACATGAAAACCGCTTCGCAAGTAGGTGTCCGGGTTTAGACCAAAAAACATAATATTACTGATGGACTAAGCATGTTAGTATTAAGGCCAAAAGTAATTTCTGAACGATATGTTTTTTTAAGTAAATTTATAAACACAACAATCTTAACACAGCTGATTACCTAATTTTTTTTCAGTAGCTTTGCATTGATATTCGTAGTTTTAAAGATATGTATGTTTAATTTTATACTAAATAGAACCTAGATATGTCAGGTATTAAATAAAACATGAAGCGAACAAAGCTCACAGTGCGGTTCGTTTTCGACCGTATCGTTTCATATTCAACTATTCGGACTATAATTAACTTGACCGCAATTAAGTCGGGGATAGTGCTAATTACTAGTGCTGTTTTATCATACGTTTACATTTTGAGTAAAAATTTAAACGAAATAATGCGCCATTTCTTATTTATATGAAAATAAAATGTCGTAATAAACATTATTTTTAAATTGTGTGCTTATATAAACAAAGAGGGATAATTAAGAGGTAAGATTTTCAATAAAGAGAGATTAACAAAAATTTACAGTCTGATCAGTTATCTATACGAACATTATAAAGAGGTAAAATTTGTGAGTTTGTAAATTTGTATGTAGGGGGTAATCTGTACCGCCGTGGCCTCAGGGAAGTGATCGACGGCGGCGAGTCGAGGCCATAGTGCGGCGCGAGAGGAACTGGGTCGCCTTCTCCTCCTTCTGTGAAGCTGTTATGCTCGCAAAGAGGGAGGCGGCCCGCGTGAGGGAGCAATCCTCCTCCTCACGCCTCAGCCACCGCAACAGGCGACACTACGGGCGTCGGGGATCAAGGGACGATCTCCGGCCACCGTAAGCGCGGGTATGCGGTCGGCGAGTAAGGGTAGCTCGCCGCCCGACCAGAACCAGACCCGACCGTATGGCGTGTAGCATTCCGCGCGCGCCTCAAGGAGCCAATAGACCACTACAGACGGGACCCTATAGGGCTGATGTTCAGCCGGGGTTACGGGGTAAGCGCAATGAGGCACCGCGACCTCGGCTCAGAGCATTAGAATGAACAGGGGGGTTTTTAGTCAGTAAGAGTCTGACACTCGATTCCGCCCGGCCCTGGGCGGGAGAAGTCATTCGATGATTTTCCCCTCACAAAAAAAGGGGGTAATGTGTGGAACCGCTGGTCGGATTTCCAAAATTCTTTTAAGTTATTTTCAAGCGTCTTGTGATGCGTCGAAGGTTCCAGTTTTATATTTTACGAGGAAAGAAGTTTTATAAAAACTAGGAAATCAATTACAAAGTTTCGTTACTAGGTACACCAGAGCACTTGTAAATACTCAACAAAATAAGTACCGATTACGTAAAAGTCTTAACACTGAACACATATCTACAATAATAACGACCCTATACGGAGAGTAAATCTGACCCAAGAGCCGGGCGAACTACTTCTAATGAAACCAATAATGAGGATAGGGAAAATCAACTCCAAGACGCCATAATGAAAAAAGTTATGAGCAACCACTGACTATAATGTTCTCGAAACTTCATCATTTTCATTAACTAAGTTTATTTATCTTTCTATAAGATATAAGTAATAATTTATTATGTTATTAGTTTATTAGACTTGTGTCTCTTGGAATTAAGTTTTTGTCGAACTTTCTAGATTGAGTTTCGGAACCGTCATTTTTTTTCGATGGATAGGCAAGTTGTCGACGTACCCACCGCCTTTTGCACACCTGCATCACTAGAAGTGTTGCAGGTGTGTTTTTGCCTTGTAAGGATGTGAGGATTGGGGGTTTTTGGGATTTGGGTAAGGAGGGAAGGTAAGTGTGGGAGAGCCATGCTTCGGCACGAATGGGTCGGCTCGACCGGAGTGATACCACGGCCTCACAGAAAACCGGCGTGAAACAACCACAGCGTTGTGTTTAGCCGTGTGAGTGAGGTTACCGGAGGCCCAATCCTTCCCCTTCCCGGACCCTTCCCCAATCCCTAAATCTCCAAATCCCTAATCCCTAAAAGGTCGGCAACGCACTCGTAACTCCTCCGTTGCGGGTGTCCATGGGTGGCGTTGATTGCTTACCATCAGGTAATCCGTCTGCTCGTTTGCCAACTTATTACATAAAAAAAAGGAGGGTTAAGGTTTGGACCTTCTATAACAATTCATACGCGGCGAAACACGACGTTCGTTTTGTTCCCCGCTGGATTTCTATGAGGCCGTAATGCCATTGCGGGTGAGCAGTTTTTTAATGTAAAAGAGATGATATTCATAAAAAAGCCTTTTTATATTAAAAAAGTCGAACTTTTGTATCCAGAATATGTTGTAAACATGTGTTTTTATTTAATATTAAGTGAAAAAATAACTTAATTATTGTGTTTTTATTCCCTATTAAATGAAAAAAAGCCATAATAATTGTGTCTAGACCCGTACGTCACCTGATAGTAAATCCACTCACGTACGCATTTGTCGTGGCTGTTATCATTAAGTGAAGCTGTGACTGTGTGAGATATGTTCGTCACGTTTGCCTCGTCGGGGAATAAAGGATAACAGTCTGTGGCTGTACCGACAGCTTTCGTTCAAAAGCCGTGATATTTGACGGTCGTTGTGATAACTGATTTTTGGCTCTACGAGGTTTTGCGGTTTCAATATTGCTGTGTTGTGGTTTGGTTGGGTTCATCCATTATGAATCAATGATGAGGTTTTTGTGCTAAATGGAATATTGGTTTTTATTTTTAGTAGCTACCTTTATTTTTGTTTTATAGATTGACGTAAGATTCTTTTAATAATGCTTCGGTATCTGGTGATTTCTTAATATGTGCTTCTAGTTGGTGTAAAATATATTTTTTTTTACTAAGTAGTAACATTTCCTAATACTACCGAACTTAGTAGACTATTCCGGAATATTTTCTATTTAACTATTAAGCTAAGGGAATCGAAAAACCTAATAATAATCTGATTCATATTGTACATTTCTCTCTTGTGTGTAAGCCCATCAAAATGATGATGGTGTTGTGGTGGCCCGGAGGATAGGTCGTCCACTTCTCGTGCATGCACTTAACCATATCTTCAAGATTTATTCACCAGTTCTTTTTCCCCAGGTGGTGGCAGAGTTCGAAGACGTGGAACCGGATGCCCTATACGATGTACTCCACGACCCAGAGTACAGGTCTGTGTGGGACACACATATGCTGGCCGCGGAGGATGCTGGGCATATCAATGTTAACAACGACGTTGGATACTACGCCAGTAAGTAGACATTTTAGGCTTTTAGTGGTTCCAAAGATTATTCCCTAGATATAAAACTAAAAAAACTTTTCTTCTTTAAAATATTCGTATTGAGTATCTCGTGTGATACTTTTGGCAGATAATTTAATCGTTTAGTTAATTGGCAGTTAGTCTCTGCCTTCGCTAGCCCAATGGGAGCCCAAAATTAATCTTTATTAGACACCAAAGAAGTTTTTGACATGGGTAGAACAGGAATGGTACAAAAATAATATAGACCAGGATGGATTACTGTTATAATTGGTAGCAGGTAGTTGATTTTTAAAAACAAACAAAAAAAAAAGTTGTTCTTTTTTTGTTTGTTTTTCTCCTGTATCACATGCACATGACATTCAGACCCGGAATAACAATTTGTGGGTCACACAAAGAGTTGCACAGCAGCCAGTTGCCCAGCCACCGCACCAACCGTGCAGTCATGTATATGAAAAACATGTGTAATATAGGTACATTCATTCATATGGACAAGCATACATACACGCACAACACACACACACACACACACACACACACACACACACACACACACACACACACACACACACACACACACACACACACACACACACACACACACACACACACACACACACACACACACACACACACACACACACACACACACACACACACACAAACACACATACACACACACACAGTATACAATTAAAATCATCGTTGTTATATTAAATACACATTTTCGTTATTATTACTTTGTTAGCCCTTTCTGGGGCCTCGAGCGACATTGTGTGTCACTTTACATAGAAACGGGTCTCGTTCTCGACTAGTCTCGGGTGCACGTTTGCATAGTTACAATACAGAAATAAAATTATTTTCAGATCTAAATAATTTGCTTTGTGAAGATGTTGTACTTTATTTGTATAAAAGTTGTCAACGGATTTTTTTCGTTTTCTTTTAGTTTTATTTTCATGTGATAGGGCGGCAAATGAACATAAGGATACGCAATCAATGCCACCCGGAACATCTAAGGAGTTGTTACGAGTTTGTTTATTGCCAGCCTTTAGGAGATTTCGCGATATATTTGCGAATATTTGCGGATATTTGAGGAATGGGATTGGGCCTCCAGTTACAACGAAAAACAACGTCGTGGTTATTTCACAAGCTTGACTCTCCCACACTGAAAATATTTTGGTTTCTGTTATGGTATCTTTAAATGTTATATAGTGCACGGCACGGTGGCTGACAGCCCAGAAATAATTTTCAGTGTGGGAGAGCTATTCTCGAGGGTCATCACAAATCGTCTCATACGTAGGTTCGATGACTTCCAGCCTCCCGAACAAGCCGGTTTCCGGAAAGGCTATAGTACCATAGACCACATCCATACGCTGCGGCAAGTTATACAGAAGACCGAGGAGTATAACTTGCCACTATCCTTGGCGTTTGTGGACTATGAGAAGGCTTTTGATTCGATCGAGACTTGGGCTGTGTTAAGATCTCTCTAGCGGTGCCATATTGACTTTCGGTACATCGAGGTTTTGAAGTGCTTATACACAAACGCCACTATGTCGGTCGAAGTACAAAACCAGAGCACTAAGAATATTCCTCTGCAGCGAGGTGTAAGGCAAGGAGACGTCATATCTCCGAAACTGTTTACCGCTGCATTGGAAGACGCTTTCAAGCTCTTGGAATGGAAAGGATCTGGCATCAACATCAACGGCGAGTACATCACTCACCTCCGGTTTGCCGACGACATTGTAGTCATGGCAGAATCGCTGGAGGATCTGAGCACAATGCTCGATGACCTCTGTAGAGTTTCTCAACAGGTAGGGCTCCAAATGAACATGGACAAGACGAAAGTCATGGCAAACGCCCATGTCACGCCCTATCCGATATCAGTTGGGAGTTCTAACCTCGAAATTGTTGACGAATATGTATACCTGGGACAAGTGTTTCGAGTGATCGGGAAACTACGCAACATCTTCTCGTCCAACTTACCTCAGTGCCTTAAGACGAAAGTCTATAATCAATGTGTGTTACCAGCGATGACCTATGGAACTGAAACGTGGTCTCTTACTGTGGGCCTTATAAAGAAGCTCAAGGTCGCTCAGCGCGCTATGGAGAGGGCTATGCTCTGGGTTTCTTTGCGAGACCGTATAAAAAACGAGGATGTCCGCAAACGAACAAAGGTTTCCGACATAGCCCAGCGGATTAGTAAGTTGAAGTGGCAATGGGCAGGGCACATAGCGCGTAGAACCGACGGCCGCTGGGGCAGAAAGGTTCTCGAGTGGAGGCCACGTACCGGCAAGCGCAGCGTAGGACGTCCACCCGCAAGGTGGACAGACGACCTGATTAAGGTCGCAGGAAGCCGCTGGATGCAGGTCGCTTCCAACCGGCCTATCTGGAAGTCAATGGGGGAGGCCTATGTTCAGCAGTGGACGTCCTGTGGCTGATATGATGAGAGTTGGCTGCGGCGCAACGCGTCGAGGGTTCGATTCCCGCACGGAACAACTCTTTGTGAGATCCACAAATTGTTGTTCCGGGCGTGATATGTATGTGAAATTATATGTTTGAAAACGCGCCCACGTCACAGAAGAAAATCCTAGCTTGGGGCAATACTTAAAAAAATATATACCTATATATAAATGTATATAAATTTTGAGTCTCTGAAATTGCTCTAACGATTTCGAAGAAATTTTGTTTGTTAAATGTGTGCTTATATTTTGATGGCTGAGTGCCTGTTTTTCAACACCTGTATAGCCACTTGTATTAGATAAAATAGATCATAGAACGATATATATTAGAAAGTAGTTAGTATGAACTGTTTGCCACATAAGTTTATCGGATACTTAATACAAACTCTTTAAAGATACTTAAACATCAGGGGATGATTTTTATTCCATGTTCATTTAAAAACATAGCAACAAGCCAATTCGAATTCGGTAACTGAAATGAAAAATACACCAAAAGAAATATATAAAAAACACGAAATAAAAAGAAGTTTGTTAAAGTTGAAATGATTTTATGACTATTTATTAAAAACCAAGGTGCATATGACTTCATTTATCGGCAAAAGAAAGTATTGACACGCGTATCAACAACAAAAATGAAAAAAAAAACAGCTCAGACAGAGATAGAAATTAAATAACACTTTACCGCCTCCGCGCGGAATACAACAAATTAGTCCTATCCACGGATGATGAGTTTCTTCGCACTGGAAGAGGTACTCATTAAGAACGAGTATCATTACAGTTTTCTATTTCCTAGCGTTTACCGTTAAAAGAGCTATCTGAATGAGTTTTTAGCTCTTCTATTTTTCTTATCTTTGCTTTTTTTACTGATACGGAAAGTAACGCTAGTTATATTGCGTTGTTTTTTGAATGTGTAACTATTTTTTTTTGTAATAGTTCTTTGGTGTTTGTGAATACGAATGAAATATTAGATCGGATCAGAGGATAAAGGGTTTTTCTCAGGTCTCGATAATTATGGGAAAACAAGCTTCCGCCCGCGTGATATGTGTGCTATTCCGGAGTGCATCCTATGCTTGTGCCAAATTTCATCCAGATCCGTCTAGTCGTTTTGGCGTAATTGAGTAACAAACATCCAAACATCGCAATTTTCTCATTTATAATATTAGTAAGATGAACATCTATTGTCATTGGTGGCCCGGAGGTTAAGGCACTCGCTTTTCATGCATGTGGGTGCGGGTTTGAAACTTGGCAAGTTCCAATGTGACTTTTTCCGAGTTATATGTACTTTCTAATATTATATAGACACCACCGACTTACGGTGAAGTGAAACATCGTAAAGAAACCTGGACTTATATTTTATAATAATTTGAAATCGCCAATCCGCATTGAGCAAGCGTGGTGATTAATGCTCAAACCTTTTCCGTGCGAGAAGAGGCCGTTGCTCAGCAGTGGGCACTTATAGGCTGATGGTATGTGTGATGTGAACATCCATTAAATAGTGGAGAAATTTCGTAGGTAGCATTGCACCCGTGCGAAGCCATGGTGGGTTTCTAGTTAGTTATAACTAAGGGAAAAATAACGAAGATAAATGCTTTCTACATGGCCAGACACTCTTGATACAATTATTTATAAATTGCCACTTAATAAAGTTTTCTCTCCCGCTGCGCTGGACTAGATTAACCGCTTGATTGATTTGAAATAAACCCCTCTAGGGATTAGTGTTAGGCGTAGAAAGAACTCTAGTATATAGGTTTTAGTTTTAATTAAGTGTTTATAGTCTATAATTAAATTATTTTAAGAAATCAACGCAACAATGTGTCGCGGCCTTGATCCGTATCAGAAGTGGGAACGGGGTGATTTTTATTTATTTATTTATTTATTTATTATAATAAGGTAGGCTCACAGCTTATGTATGCAAAGTATTTTAAAGACATGTTTATAGGTAGTATAGGCCTTATACATAAGCCAATTACGAGCTAACTAATATTTTAGTCATTTAGAGTTTTACTTTTTTTTCCTGAAAAGACTTGATGATTATCTTTTCAAAATAATCTTGTATTAATATAAGTATTTTATTTATGACTATGTATTATTTTGTGTAGTAATTATTGATTGATATAAACTTACTTTACCTTCCGTACTTTTCTGTATGGCTGCATATCATCTATCTGCGTACATCTTTGAGATACCTAACGGATGACTGGCATAATATGCAGTCGGTATTAAGTCCTCTAATATGCAAATTAATACGTATCTTCTATATGTACCTATATATATAAAGAAAAGTCGTGTTAGTTTTATTATTATATAACTTAAGAACGGCTGAACCGATTTCGTTGAGGAATGGTGGAGACGTGATTTCGAGCCAGAACAAGAACATACGATAGGATATAGTAGGTCGGGTAGGGTAGGTAGGATAGGGTAAGTAGTGCAGGGTAGGTAATGTCTATAGTTAACTAGGTAGGTTAGTATAGGTAGCCAAATGATGGGACCAAAGCCGCGGTTAAAGCTAATGAAAAACAAAAATATAATCAACCA